AAAGTCAAAATACACCGCTAATCAAGCGCTAATCAGTGATCGCCATGTAAACTTACGTACAGATCACTGCGGGCATTCCTATCAATACATCGGTCAGACCGTACATTGACTAGAGATGGGGGAAAGAGTTGTCTGGATTGAAGACTTGCAACTTACATACAATCATCAATCACGTATTCATATTTTGCCCTAGTTGTATTGAATTTTATTGCTATATTACTGTGACAAACTTGTTCTCAACGTAAACGTTGTATGCCTGAATGGATGAAAGCCGACTCACTAACGGAGACTCAACAGTTCATTTCTTTCTTTACAGAGAAGCGAGGCATTTGACACTTTCAAAATCTGTGAAAGTCGTTCCGCAAGTTTTCGCAGCTCGTAATTTACTTTGCCAGTGAACCGCAAATACACCGCTGCGTTGGACTTTAAAATGGCGAAAAATTGTATAATTGTGTAGATTGAATGGAATCTACAACACGCAGATATTACGATTTCACATATGTTTCGGTCCTGTCTTATGCATTGGTAGCATAGTTATAGAACAACGTCTATCACTGAGATGAAAATACGCGGCATGGAATAGATCGTAACGACCTTGACTTTAATGAAATTTAATATGGTCATCTTTGAGCTGGGAAAGCCATATTCAATAATACGGTTGACGTTTTAACCTTGCAAAATCTTTATTAATAAATCTGACCTACCCTCTAGATTCATTACTAATAAAACGGAAACGGAATTCTTTTGAACTTTTAATAAAAATTGCAATTATCTGTTCGCTTTTTTCGTTTATTTTTGTGATATAATCATGGGGATTCGTTTTTTTTTCTTTAATTTGATCCTATTTATAAATACATATTCGATTCATGAATGTATGTAAGTAAAATGTATTCTTTACACGGATCTAAATGAATCGTGAGAAACTTAAGTGTATTCGTTGTATTAAGGTGCAGCACAACACTAAAATACTAAAATTTTCCTATGTTATATGTGAATAGGAAAGCTAAACATTCAGTCATTTTGAAATACAAATATCGGTTCATTCTTTTTTTTCTTAAATAAACTGGTAAATTAGCACTGACTGCTTAATAAAAGTCTTCAAGTTATAACTGCCTGGTCAAAAACAAACTACAGAATCTTCTTCATTTCAGTCCCAATGTACGTTATATGTTATATTTGGTCTTACAGTTCAGAATTAGTTTTTTTGGAATATGAACCACTAATAAGACACCTTTAAACGCTAAAAGAGGAACTATCTATAACAATTCTAAGTGCTCGCTGAAATTCTGCAAACTTTTAAATTTTATTTAACGGATTTTTCGTCCACTATTAGAAATATAACCGCCGAAGTGGAAAAAGGAAAATAGTTTTTTTTTTGGAAAAACATTAGTCAATTATCAATGTTTTTTTCAAGAAGAGTAGAATTTATTCCAAAGTTTTAGAGGTTCTCTCAACAATCAATTCTTATAGCTAAAATTAAATTTTCGTAAAGTTACAGGCTTTTTGCCAAACGGTCATATGTTCAATATTCCCTAACACTTGCTGATAACTACATTGTACAGTTATAAGGAAACAGATCACAAACAAAGCAGAATCACTTTCTGTATTTGTAAAGTTCATCATTTCAGAATATTCAAATGTAGTTGCTATACATATGAAAGTTTATTGGGTTATGGGGCCGATATCATATCCCATAAATATTTTGACTTTTTTGTATCACTTTGTATTTTCCTCAGTCGCCTCCTAGGCTTCAAAATTTAGGCCTGTATGATGCAGTTTAAATAATTGAGTGGCATTACTCTATCTAAATGTAAATTTGTATCAACAGATGTAATTCACTTTTGTGTCTTTTGTACAATCTCTGAAAAATGTATTTTATTGCAATAATTTTTAAAAAATACATGCCAAAACATAGTTGTCAGAAATGGACACATAAAAAGAAAAGTTTGAAAAATGTAGTGTAATTAAGACTGACATTTGAGATAGGAGATGGGATAGAAACCATGAGACCTTAGACATATTGTTATTAGTAAAGAGTTAAGGAAAACTATTCTTTAACTGAGTGTTGAATCAGTTAATTGGAACATATCGGTTTGAAATATCAAAAATCTACTAAATGAAACATAACCGAGATTTTTTTTTTTTAAGTCTTATCAAGAAGAACATACATAAAACATCAATATGACGCGATTTTAGAAGTGAAAAGAATAAGTTTGTTCAATGTATGTTGAACAGATTCCGAAATATTTGGACTCTAACGATTGCTTGAACTTTATTAATGGGACTCGCTTCTGTGTAAATGGTAAAATAATACATCAAAATAGACATCAAGCTGTAAAATTGTGCGTGGAGGGTTTTGTCATCGGCAAGGCCACACGAAGATGATTGACATATAGATTTGCTTTGTGAACTTCAAATGAAATAGAAATTCAATATTTAATAGCAAAACTTATAGACGTAGATGCAAAGCCTCTGTATCTAAATATATATGATATCAATGACTTGTAAAACAATATGATATATAGTTCTAGTATTCATAAATCATTTCTTGGTAGCATTCAGTAGATGTTTCTTTAACGTTATATGCATTCTCAATTTGTGCATTCAGATGATTCCACATACCAACAACTCTACTCGTTAAATTCCGACTTAGTTCTATGTTACAGCGACATTTGTACAGTTTAAAGCTTTGATCACTATCATATTACCACTACTTGCTGACTTTTACTGCTCTAATGCAGTAACAAAATGTGATAAGTTTTTGCCAGGAAATATATATATACATATGTTGTACTTCAGCATTAAAACATCCAACTAAAGATGTTTTTTGCTAAATGACAACACTATCGTTCTCGATTATATTTTTTTTAACTCTGTTTGATGTTTATGTATGTGATGTAACTTATGATATATTTTGTGACTAGATAAAAGGGCAGAATGCCTCAAACCTTTAACAACTTACCTGTCCGTACAGTCGTTATAACTTGTTAGAATCCAGTAACAATGTTGGACAATACCGTCGATATTACTAGATTCTATTTAATTAATCATATAAGTATATAATTACTACACCAATCTACAGTAAATGTCAGATTTCATTAGTTTTTACAATTCATTGGCTATATGGTTCAGATATCAGACATCAGAAAACCACATCCGGGAAATTAAAAATGAATCTTTTCACGAAATCAAAGTTTCAGTATTATCCCTAATTTTTATAATTTACACAGTTATTTTATTTCAACAGCTGAATAAGATTCGAAGAAAACTCACGTTGATTATTTTCAATATTAAGTAAAAGATTGAATATTTATTGCGGTAAATGTTTGATTTCAGTAAAACTTGTTTGTGCGAATAAAAAAATTGATTTGTTTTCCTTAATAACATACAGATTTATTATTATTTATCTTTCTTTTTTTATAATAATTATGTTATATTAATAACAATTATGTAGTTGATGAGTTTCGTATATGTGTTACGTTTAATAAGCTTAAACATTTATATTATATTATACAACCAAAGGATTTTTTTTAACTTTTACTATCAACTTTTTTTTTTACATATCTACCGATATTCAGCAATGTTTATATAATATGATTAATTTTCAAATATTGTTTACTTTGACGTTTTAAAGATTGCTCAAAAGGCACACAAGTGAATAAGTGAATACCATCCTTTTGATGCATATTAAGAATTAGATACAGTAGAACCAAACAATCAGTTTAATTGTATAACAAAGCTGGTTCATCCTTCTAGGACTAGCCAATGATGTTAAGTACTAATTTTGCAGTCTAGGAGACAACTGAGAAAAATCCGACGTGGTAATGAGAATGGCATCATTCACAAAAAGAGACCCAACAACAAAGCTTACATCTGGAACTTAACTACCACTCGTGTTTCTCTGTCGCTCAAGGTTACATGTCCCACACTATAAGTGCTACTAAACATTACTTTGTTTCAAAGATTTACTTGATCGATTGAGATCGGCCAATGTATATCAGTACCAGAATTATTTTGAAGGATTGTACAAAGGACAGACAAGTGAATGCATTATTTTATACCAGTGAAGTGATAGAGAGAGTGCAAGCCGAATTATAATGAATAGCATCAAGCTACATGTACTAATTTGTCCTTCTATGACACGTAAGTGGGTGTTAGGGAGCTCAAACATGGTATTGTTAACGGTAAGTTAGAAAATAAAGATCTGCCGAAATCGTTTGATATAGAAGGAGGTATACCAACATCATCAGTAAGTTTTCAATGGCGGATAATAAGTAATTATTATGATAACGAGAAAATAACGACATAAATTAGTATTCTTTATCACGAGGAGAACGTATGATTGAAATAAATGTTTAGTCACAAACCAATGTCGTTCCCATATAATTTGTGAACATAGATAATTAAATATATTAGTATGATAATGTTGTCTTGTTAAAAACAATCAAAATATCCCCCGTCGCCATTCATCCGTAACTTCGTATTGTTTATATATGGCCATTCTTTTAGTAGAAGTAGGTGCTAAACCGATGTGGAATTAAATTGGAATTCAGTAGGTCAAGTAAACCGATATTTCGCTTAAGTTGTTTGTATAACTGATATATTTTAGAGGGGTTGCGGAAACTTCTAGCTTACTAGGTGTGTATTCTCGAATGTATGTCTCCTTAGATTGATCAAATGCTGGGTATGACGATATTTCTGTACATATGGTAGACATGCATCACGTTTATGGATAGAGTTTTCAACAATATTTACTTCAGCACCAAAGGTTGTTCTCAATTACAAATTAGCAATAAAACATTGAAATAAGGGAAATGTACTGGGCTTGTTGAACAGTACTTTCAAGAGTACAATAAAGTTCTGAAGTTACGAGAAAGAAGTAATTCCTTTGTCATTTATGTTCTAGAAATATAACCAGTTTTATACATACGTCTGTATAAACATAAGCTGGATTCTATATTGACAGAACGTATCATTAACTATACATTTCCTTACATTTCTTACCTCTCACCCCAGTATGTGTAATGTACGGCATTGAGGGAGTCTCCCTGCTGTCGATAGGGGCCAAAAGGAAACGGTCCTGAGGGACTCACAGAGTTGTAGTCATTCAACTGGGAGTAGGTGGTTCCTGCACTTGGAGACAGCTGAACGCCCGAGGGTAGCGGATTGTACCCACAGGAGCTGAGGGTGGAGCCGGGAGGGGGAACACGCGCCTGAGTACAGGAGTTAAAGTTACTGATCTGGGACATACCCATACCCTGATGTGCAGAAGAATTGTGGGTAAGGGCCCAAGGCGAGTATTGCGAATATTGAGAGTATGGGGGTGGGGAAAAATACGGTTTCGCAAGCTGAGCAAACTGGTTATAAGGACCGCAATGGTTGTCAGCAAAAAGGGGTTTAGGGAGAGATATGGCTGCTCTGTATGGCCGTCTCATTCGTCGACGTCGGCGATAATTTCCCTTTTCAAACATGTCGTTGAAAGCAGGATCCAAAGTCCAGAAGTTGCCCTTTCGTTCACCACCACCTTCTCTTGGTACTTTAACGAAACACTCATTGAGGCTGAGGTTATGCCTGATGCTGTTTTGCCATCCTTTCTTATTTCTCTCGTAGTAAGGAAACTTACTAATAATATACTGATATATTCCACTTAATGTCAGTCGTTTGTCACCAGACTCTTTGATCGCCATGGCAATTAAGGCGACGTATGAAAATGGCGGTTTCTGGTCCGGATCTGAATACTTATTACTCTCGTCCTCTAACTTCCGGCATTTGGAATCCCTTGGAATGTTCATAATAGGTGTTTCTTCTTTGATCTTAGTATCTACTTTGGCTTGTTTTAGATCGTCTGCCTCAGACATTTTGTCATCACAGTGTTGGCTGTTCTGGAGCCTAGCCGCTACCCCGTAAGACACTTTGGAAGAATATTTATAATTCGGCGACGAAAAACCACTCCCAACGTGTTGCTTCCAACTTTTTGTCACTTCACTTGCACTGTCTACATTGTCACTAAACCCCTCCGGTCTTTTTCCTCCACGAAACAATCTAAATTTTATGTCCATGAAATCAGCATTATCGTCCATCTTCGAGTCATAATATGACAGCGCCATTTGTCTAACAGGATTCTAGGTTTTTGTGGACGCTATCCGCAGATAATTCACAATAGTAGTCGGCTTCGTTAACAAATGTATCCAAACAGTTATTATTATTGTACATGTAAATAAATAACTTTCGACAGAAACAAACAAAAAACAGCCTGCACTTCAATAGAACAGCGACCACCATCAGCTTTACCGATACTAAACAAGTTATTGAAAAATGATAATGTTTGTATATATACTACTTACTCCACCTCAACGATCACGTGACGAGTGTAGGGGGTGCTAGCCTGTCAATTTCTACTTAATACGACAGAAATGTACATCCCATATGATGTTCAAGGCATCAGATTTCGGCCGTCACGAGCTGGCATTTTTGGCCAGCCAATGAGCGTCCCTAGAGGTTTTATCCTTCCCCTAGAGAGCAGAGTTATGGAAACAAATACTACTGTTTATATAGACATGCATTACAGCTAGTCACTAACTATAAACATATTCTACTAACGACCGTGTCTTTTTCCTACTTTAACCTAAATGGACAGCCTTTTCAAAACAACATATTAAATAATATGGAACTTCTGTTTGACCGGAACCTGTCTGATCAATGTACAGGAATATATAGAGGTAACGTCCGTGATTTACCCGTTGGCATGCTTATCTCTTATTTTTAAAGAATCCATGTTAGATTTCTTCGGAATACTGTCGTTCACATACTGTGTATACTGTGCATGTGAATAAAAGTTAAATGGAAAAATGTTTTGTCTTTAGAAGGGTTTCTTTTGGGGGAGGGGAATATATCATTTCACGTAGGGTGGTTATTCATACACTTATACTTTACGTCTTTATCTAAGGTGATCTGTCCCATACAATCAAACAATCCAAAGATATCCTTCATTGTTCAGTAATCAAATACTGTTTAGTAATTACAAACAAATTTTAGATATATCAATTGAAAAGAAATATAGTATTGTTATTTTTGTTAAAGTTTTGTAATTACATTAGCTGGGTTTATCAGTTATCGAGGACAAATTTTAGAGATGTAATCAATTAAAAAGAAATATCTTCTTGTTTTAAGTTTTGTAATTACATTTTGCTGAGATCATCTGCTATCGAGGACAATAGGAGTAAAATATCTTGTCCAAAGACACAATTACGGCAAAACAAGACACTTTCCAGTTAAGGAAAACCCAATGTATTATTTAGTGCGAAGAAATTTATTATCTTGCTGCATATATCTATGTACCGTGTCTGTAATTCTATATTGTAAATATTTATTTTGCAGAACGGTAATGCACTATTTTACGGTAATTCGCTGATGGAAGGTTATTAACGGAGGCAAAATCAAGCCAGCAACTTCTTTTCAGTTATTAGAATTTAAATGTTGTTTAACAAGTTAACAATAGGTAAGTTTAATTTGACGTTTAATCATATGGAATACGCTATTAACTAAACAAATATTGTAAATAGTATACTGGACAATACTGTACACAAAACACGTTATGGATTAAAGATATGAAATTTATATTTTACATTACACGCTTTAAACAAGAGAATTTACACACAGAAAATGGTTCAACAAGAAAGTTGATGCACAGGAAACGGTTTCATGAGAAATTTCATACACAGGAAACCGTCTGATAAGAGAATACATACACCGGAAAACAGTTATATAATAGAATTCATACACAAGAAAGAGTTTAACGATAGAAGTCATACACAGGAAACAGTTCAGGGATAGAATTTATACACAGGAAACAGTTCAGGGATAGAAGTCATACACAGGAAACAGTTCAGGGATAGAAGTCATACACAGGAAACAGTTCAGGGATAGAAGTCATACACAGGAAACAGTTCAGGGATAGAAGTCATACACAGGAAACAGTTCAGGGATAGAAGTCATACACAGGAAACAGTTCAGGGATAGAAGTCATACACAGGAAACAGTTCAGGGATAGAAGTCATACACAGGAAACAGTTCAGGGATAGAAGTCATACACAGGAAACAGTTCAGGGATAGAAGTCATACACAGGAAACAGTTCAGGGATAGAAGTCATACACAGGAAACAGTTCAGGGATAGAAGTCATACACAGGAAACAGTTCAATGATAGAAGTCATACACAGGAAACAGTTCAGGGATAGAAGTCATACACAGGAAACAGTTCAGGGATAGAAGTCATACACAGGAAACAGTTCAGGGATAGAAGTCATACACAGGAAACAGTTCAGGGATAGAAGTCATACACAGGAAACAGTTCAGGGATAGAAGTCATACACAGGAAACAGTTCAGGGATAGAAGTCATACACAGGAAACAGTTCAGGGATAGAAGTCATACACAGGAAACAGTTCAGGGATAGAAGTCATACACAGGAAACAGTTCAGGGATAGAAGTCATACACAGGAAACAGTTCAGGGATAGAAGTCATACACAGGAAACAGTTCAGGGATAGAAGTCATACACAGGAAACAGTTCAGGGATAGAAGTCATACACAGGAAACAGTTCAGGGATAGAAGTCATACACAGGAAACAGTTCAGGGATAGAAGTCATACACAGGAAACAGTTCAGGGATAGAAGTCATACACAGGAAACAGTTCAGGGATAGAAGTCATACACAGGAAACAGTTCAGGGATAGAAGTCATACACAGGAAACAGTTCAGGGATAGAAGTCATACACAGGAAACAGTTCAGGGATAGAAGTCATACACAGGAAACAGTTCAGGGATAGAAGTCATACACAGGAAACAGTTCAGGGATAGAAGTCATACACAGGAAACAGTTCAGGGATAGAAGTCATACACAGGAAACAGTTCAGGGATAGAAGATAGATAAGTCATACACAGGAAACAGTTCAGGGATAGAAGTCATACACAGGAAACAGTTCAGGGATAGAAGTCATACACAGAAACAGTTCAGGGATAGAAGTCATACACAGGAAACAGTTCAGGGATAGAAGTCATACACAGGAAACAGTTCAGGGATAGAAGTCATACACAGGAAACAGTTCAGGGATAGAAGTCATACACAGGAAACAGTTCAGGGATAGAAGTCATACACAGGAAACAGTTCAGGGATAGAAGTCATACACAGGAAACAGTTCAGGGATAGAAGTCATACACAGGAAACAGTTCAGGGATAGAAGATACACAGGAAACAGTTCATCATACACAGGAAACAGTTCATACACAGGAAACATAGAAGTCATACACAGGAAACAGTTCAGGGATAGAAGTCATACACAGGAAACAGTTCAGGGATAGAAGTCATACACAGGAAACAGTTCAGGGATACACAGGAAACAGAAGTCATACACAGGAAACAGTTCAGGGATAGAAGTCATACACAGGAAACAGTTCAGGGATAGAAGTCATACACAGGAAACAGTTCAGGGATAGAAGTCATACACAGGAAACAGTTCAGGGATAGAAGTCATACACAGGAAACAGTTCAGGGATAGAAGTCATACACAGGAAACAGTTCAGGGATAGAAGTCATACACAGGAAACAGTTCAGGGATAGAAGTCATACACAGGAAACAGTTCAGGGATCAGGGATAGAAGTCATACACAGGAAACAGTTCAGGGATAGAAGTCATACACAGGAAACAGTTCAGGGATAGAAGTCATACACAGGAAACAGTTCAGGGATAGAAGTCATACACAGGAAACAGTTCAGGGATAGAAGTCATACACAGGAAACAGTTCAGAGATAGAAGTCATACACAGGAAACAGTTCAGGGATAGAAGTCATACACAGGAAACAGTTCAGAGATAGAAGTCATACACAGGAAACAGTTCAGGGATAGAAGTCATACACAGGAAACAGTTCAGGGATAGAAGTCATACACAGGAAACAGTTCAGGGATAGAAGTCATACACAGGAAACAGTTCAGGGATAGAAGTCATACACAGGAAACAGTTCAGGGATAGAAGTCATACACAGGAAACAGTTCAGGGATAGAAGTCATACACAGGAAACAGTTCAGAGATAGAAGTCATACACAGGAAACAGTTCAGGGATAGAAGTCATACACAGGAAACAGTTCAGGGATAGAAGTCATACACAGGAAACAGTTCAGGGATAGAAGTCATACACAGGAAACAGTTCAGAGATAGAAGTCATACACAGGAAACATAGAAGTCATACACAGGAAACAGTTCAGGGATAGAAGTCATACACAGGAAACAGGGATAGAAGTCATACACAGGATAACGAAACAGTTCAGGGATAGAAGTCATACACAGGAAACAGTTACACAGGAAACAGTTCAGGGATAGAAGTCATACACAGGAAACAGTTCAGGGATAGAAGTCATACACAGGAAACAGTTCAGGGATAGAAGTCATACACAGGAAACAGTTCAGGGATAGAAGTCATACACAGGAAACAGTTCAGGGATAGAAGTCATACACAGGAAACAGTTCAGGGATAGAAGTCATACACAGGAAACAGTTCAGGGATAGAAGTCATACACAGGAAACAGTTCAGGGATAGAAGTCATACACAGGAAACAGTTCAGGGTCATACACAGGAAGTTCAGGGATAGAAGTCATACACAGGAAACAGTTCACACAGGAAACAGTTCAGGGATAGAAGTCATACACAGGAAACAGTTCAGGGATAGAAGTCATACACAGGAAACAGTTCAGGGATAGAAGTCATACACAGGAAACAGTTCAGGGATAGAAGTCATACACAGGAAACAGTCCAATAAAAGAACTGTTGCACAGGAAACAGTTCAGGGATAGAAGTCATACACAGGAAACAGTTCAGGGATAGAAGTCATACACAGGAAACAGTTCAGGGATAGAAGTCATACACAGGAAACAGTTCAGGGATAGAAGTCATACACAGGAAACAGTTCAGGGATAGAAGTCATACACAGGAAACAGTTCAGGGATAGAAGTCATACACAGGAAACAGTTCAGATAGAAGTCATACACAGGAAACAGTTCAGAGGGATAGAAGTCATACACAGGAAACAGTTCAGGGATAGAAGTCATACACAGG